TTATTTTAGAAAAATAATTAGGGTTCCGCGAAAAAAAATTAAAACCTATGAAATTCAATCGTAATAAATTCCACGCGGGCGAAGTCGTGGGGAACAGCTAGTCTGTACGATATAATATTATATAACAGCATAAGAGTTGAGTGTAAAGCTTATTTGAATCACCAATTCTAATCCCATTCTTTATCCGCAAGTGTCTATTCAAATAATCACTACGTATATTAATTTAATTCTACTTATAATTAGTTGCAATGACAATGTTTAGGTAATAAATTGGTTGGTACTTTATTTAATTAAAATAACTAAATTATATACATTACAATCCTTAACATAATTTGTCGAAATATTTACAAATTTAACTACAGTAGCCGGGACCGGATTAAAGGTGTTGGGTGTTGGGACTACAGAGAAGTACAAGCCTCGCAACGTTTTAGACATGAAAGATATCCTTTGTACAACTTTTCAAGAGGTATTTCGAGAAAATTTCTTTACACACAATCAAATAATTTTCACTCCTGACGCTTTGCATCCTTCATCTCTTAATCCGACCCTGGCTTGCTCGTAAGTGTCGTACATATAACTAAATGACTAAAACATTAATAACTAAAACATTTTATACGAATTAACTATTGAAACGAGGAAATTGTTTCAAATATAAAAACATTATTATATATTATCCTGCTTAAAAACTAATCAAAACCGCTAGTTAAAAGCTTGAGCCAAGAACTGACTTTTACAAAGCCAATTACACTATCGCACACCACATAACCATCGGTGGGAAGCGATGGGGCATGCCGCCATTTTTTCTAAATTAAATTTGGTTAAAATTTTTCCATTTATTATTAAATGTTCTTAAAGATGAACGGCCTTACTTAAACTTAAGTATTAATTATCACTATAACTATCTCTTTCTTTTCTTTAAGAGAGAAAGAGCAACTTTAAACATTTCTTAGATTGACGTTTATTTTACGGGTAAGGCCGTAAATTCTTAACAATATGGTAGTTGTACTAATGTTATTTTAAATGCTTATTTAGCTTGTCAAAACGAAACTTTTTAATACATATATACAGGGTTATTTTTCATAGAGTAACCCAATTTTAAACTAAAGTACAAATATATAATAATATACTGTTATAGAAGTTTCTCTCTGTTCTCTTCAAGAGAAATCGGGAAAGATTTTTATGGGAGGCACAATGCGGATTTAGACCTGGAAGAGGATGCACGGATCAAATGTTTTCTCTCCGCATGATCACGGAGAAGCATCTGAGTGTTAACCAGAAGATTTTCTGTGCTTTTGTAGATCTGGAGAAAGCATTTGATAAGGTTATAAGGAAGAAAATGTGGAAACTGTTGCCGGAATATGGTGTGGATAGTCGATTGTTAAGGGCTGTGCAGTCACTTTACTATGATTGTAAAGCCTGTGTGCGAGTAGGGCACGACCTGTCACCCATGTTTAGCGTCCAAGCGGGCGTAAAAAAGGGTTGTGTCATGTCTTCCTGGCTGTTCATACTGTATCTCGACAGCTGTTTACAGAAGCTGAAAAATAGCTGTTTGGGTGTGAAATTGGGTGACATTAAAGTAAATTGTCTGCTGTATGCTGATGATGCAGTGCTTATTGCACCATCAGAACTGCAGGCATTAGTCAGGTGTATGAAAGAGGAATGTGAAATTAAAGGTCTCCGTTTGAATGCTAATAAAACTAAGTTCTGGATGAAAAGGACGAAGAGAGATCGAAATGTGAAATATGGGTAAATCAGGAATGTCTAGAACAGGTAAATGAAATTGTATACTTGGGGAGTGCTTTCAGCCGGGATGGAAGATGTGATTTAGATGTGGACAGGCGTGTCGCTGCCGGGAACAAAGTCAATGGTGCCCTGAATGCGTTAGTCAAAAGGCAAGGCGTAGTGAAGAGTGCACGCCTTGCAATACATAACGCAGTGTTGGTGCCGACTTTGTTATATGGCAGCGAAACCTGGGTATGCCAGAAGAAGCATAATAGCAAGTTGAATGCAGTGGAGATACGATCTCTTCGTAAAATGTGCGGCGTTACCATAGCCGATCGAAAGCGAAACGAAGAGATTCGCAATATGGCAGGATTGAAAGATGACCTTATCACAAAAATTGATAGGGGGTACTTGGTGGGTGATTGAATGGTAGAAAATATATAGCGCGAAAGTAAATATTAAAAGGTGTCGAGGTAGACCGAGACTAACTTTCGAGGACCATGTGAGCAAATTACTCGAAGAGGGGATGGTCAAGAGTACTCTGATACCTAGACGTGATGTATGAAGAATTCGTGCATGTATGAAGAAGTTAATGAACCTGAAAGAAGCGAAAAAGGTATGCAAGGATCGTGGCACTTGGCGATCTGTTATCTCTGGCTACCCCGTTAGGGATTGTGCGTGAAGATAAGTAAGTAAGTAAGTTATAGAAGTTTTTGAAAGTAGGCGTAACTAAAGCTCTACTTTTATTTGAAATTATCTGAAATTGAATGTGAATTATGGGCAACAATTTTTTTGCCTAGCGATTGACACATACAAACGTGTGCGTGCGCAGTAAAATCAGTTAAAATAATGCATTACCACGCACTTTAAATTAAAAAAACATAAATGATAAAATGTTTGAAGATAATTTTAAATTAATTTTTCTTCTACTTATTCCGAATCTTCTCTGCGAATTTGGCCGGTTATTGTAAATAACCATGTATAATAAGGGAATACTAGTAAATGAAGTCACATCTTGTAGTTAAAAAAAAACTTTTTTATTTTTTAATTTTGCATAACCAACATGTCATTTATATAACGAAAAAAACGCCTTTAACGTTAAATAGCAGTTAATAGAATTATAATTTGAGTAAATGCAAATAAGTACCAGTTATCAGCATTATGCAGTTAAAGTCTGGTTTCCTAGGTGAATGACGTCAACGTTGTTAATAATATACTTTGGTCTTTACGGTGTAGATCCGTGGAAAGTTCTATCACCGATTATCATGAGCTAGAAGAACTACTGGTAATACGTTTGGTATTGTATGTGGTTACTTTAGATTATGTTTCGTGTCCTATTGCGCCTTCCCGGCTGTGACAAACTGGCAGTGTGTGCATGTATTTTATTACGGCAAGCAAAAGTACTGGCTGCGTTAAAAGCATGTTGATGACCTACTTTATAAAAAAAAGTTACAGCGGATATATGTCCCACTGCTGGGCACAGGCCTCCCCTCATTTCTGAGAGGATTTTAGGGCAAGGAAGTGTCCGTCGCGCTGCCCCAATGCGTGTGAAGGTTTCTCCACGATGTTTCCCTTCACGAGCACGTGGTAAATAACATTGCATTTAACAATATCATTTACTAATAATTTAATATATAAAAATGTTTATTGCACTTAAAATTGCAATTAACAATTTCATTGGTACCGGCGGGGATCGAAGCCGGTCCTCGCCGATCCAGTTAGAATTGGAATTCATTTTGTTTAGCGTCACCGGTCACCGCTATCGAAAAAACGTTCGTGAACCCCGTACCATCGAGACAACCGTCACACAAACAGCGGCAAACTTTTTGATGTTACGTAGTCAAATACCTCTCTCTACCACGAAAAAGCTATAAACCTACGATACGACCTACCTATAAACCTACGAGAAACCAGGCTATTTGTTTATAGATAACGTTATAGTGACGTCATGCATCGTTTTATTACGACCATCATGTAGCGGGCACCACAATCCACCAGAAACCAGAGCTTTATCGTGGTATATTCATATTGATTGATAGGTAATATATTTATTCTTGATTTTTTTTATTTAACTGACTACGGCTCTGGGTACTAGCCCTTCTGAGCCTATCATTTCTTTCAGAATCTTCATTTTATAAATTTTTTCTTCACAATATGCTGATGCGTCACATTGCGAAGTTTTTGGGAGATTTTGACGACAGCTCAATTCAGCGGACAATTGATGACGACAGTCACTCAAGTTCATAAGGCGCCCAAGCGATCAAATTAACTTGAAGTTTATATCGACATCAAAGCACTTGTTTCGTCGTTTTCTCTAATAGTTCATACGCGCAGACACTTAATTCACAAAATCGCATCACTTTTACGAATTAAAATCGACTTCAAACCATTATTTAAGGCTTTGTCAGACAGGACGCGTACTTAGCGCGCGTCAGAGCGTTAACTTGACGCCGCGCTATGACGCTAAGATGTGTTGTACTACCATCGTAGAATACCGTCAAACAGAGCGCCGACGCTAGCAGTACGCAACGCTCTGTCGCGGCGTTAGGACGCTTTAACGTCGGGTGTTGTATTTTTTTACAAATTTTATTTTAGCGTCGGAGTGAATAGGTGTAAAATAATAATAAAATACTGCATAATGACCGAAAATTTGATAGAATTGGTTAGAAAATATCCATGCTTATATAATACGAAGGATAGTTCGTATAAAGATATATCAATGAAGGCAAAATTGTGAGCATAAATCGGAGAAGAAATTAATGAAACTGGTAAAAGTAAAAAAAAATCGTTTATTGATTAAAATAAGACACAAATTGTTCACGAGTTTCGAATGCTGCAGTCGTTGATCTTCTATTTGTTGGACGATGAGTTATTAGAGCACGCATAGGTACGTTTTCGTCTTCCGACTCCGGAGTTAATATCGCTGTACCTTGTTTTGTTTGTAAGTAATTATGTAAACAACATGCAGCTTTAATAATATCAATTGCTGTGTCCACATCACAGTCAATAGGTCGTAAAAAAATGCGCCATTTTTGTGCTAATATTCCGAACGTATTTTATTAAAATTTGTTTTTCTTTCGTCTTGTGTAGCTAAGGCTCTTGGGAATGGACGCATCAAATATGTTTTTAAAGCAAAACCTTCGTCGCCGATAAGTACGTGAGGTACGGGCTCCTCGGTGCCTGGAAGAGGTTTATCAGGCAGCAGAGATTTTCCGTGGATATATTGCCGACAAAATATTAAGTTCTCGAATATACCACTATCACTATGCCGCCCGTAACTACCGACATCTATGACGGTGAAATTGTAACACGACTATAGCGACTATAGCAAGAAGAACTACAGAAAAAAACTTCTTGTAGCAAAAATATTCTGATCCACTATTTTTGGGACACTTTATAGAGACATGTTTCCCGTCAATACTACCGACACAATTCGGGAAGTTCCAGGTTTCCCTATAACCCTTCTCTGATTGTTTCCATGTCTCTTCAGTAGGCGATGGCATATATTCTGGTTGTAATGTATTCCAGATTTCTGTACAGACTTCTTTTACAATACCACCGACTGTTGAACGACCTACTCGGAAGGAAAAGGCTATGGTCTGATGTGAATCACCCGTAGCTAAGTACCTGAAACAAAATAATACAATTTATGTTTATTTTACAGGTGAAGTAGCTTAAAAAATGGAAGAGCTTGAGGGACAATTATATGAGATACAAAAAAGAGGTTGCAGGTACTACAGGACAAGCTGCAAAAAATTTACAAAATGGCCTTGGGCTTCCCAGTTACAGTTCCTTGACTCAACTCTGACAGATCGAGAAACAACTTCAAATATTCGAGAACCTACACCAGAAACATCGTCAGCTATAGAAACTCAATCTCCAGAGACGCCTCCACCAAGAACACAAAGCGCACCCCCCGCCAGAAACACCTCCGCTAGAGACGCCCCAAACAAATGACACAAATAGTTCACGAGCTAAGAAAATAAAAAAAAACTGACAGCGAAATGGATACAGTTATAAATTTTCTTCAAAATAAAAAAAACAAGAGTATGATGCCATAGATCACTTATTCCAAAGTTATGCCCAAACATTTAAAACTTTTTCCAAAGACAAACAGATAAAAGCCAAAGTAGAACTAGCCAAGTTATTTGCAAGCATAGAAACAGAGGAACTGCAAGAAAACGTCCAGATATTGAATTCACCACATTATTCCATTATTAGTACCGAAGACTCCGTCTGCTATGCAGTACCCAAGTCTGTGCCCGAAGATTCATCCCCAGTGGCTGTTATATATTGATTATATATAGATTTATCTAACAGTACTTCATCATACCTGCAACAGCCCGAGCAGCTACGTCAACCACTACGCGAAATCGATATTCTACATGTAACTGTAAAATGACGTCAACAATTATCGCCCAATTACTCTTATACCTATTCTATCGAAGGTGTTTGAGAAATGTATGCACCTGAGAATACTTAATTATTGCAACACATACAACATCATTAGTAAGGATCAATTCGGTTTCCAAAAAGATAAGTCGACAACTTTAGCAACATTTACTCTTGTACAAACAATACTCACAAAATTGAATGAAGGTTATTTAACAACAGGTCTATTTTTTGACTTGTCCAAGGCATTTGATTTTGTAGACCACGACCTCTTATTAAATAAACTTGAAACGATTGGTATAAGAGGACCTACACTACAATGGCTATCATCCTACTTGAAGAATCGATGTCAGCGCGTCACTGTTAACAAAATCATAAATAGCGAACTGGTGACATGTTCTTCTACCCTAAAAAATAACTCCTGTGGTATCCCTCAAGGAAGTGTCCTAGGTCCACTTATGTTTATATTGTACATAAATGACATAACCAAAGTTACTGGTCATAAATGTATCTTGTTTGCCGATGACATATCAATAATTGTGACATCAGAAAAAAATAAATATAATTCAATACATGACCACGAAATTGAGATTAATAATACTATTGACAACATTATTAAATGGCTAGAGGAAAATAATCTAAAACTAAATTTAGATAAATCAAATTTCATTCAATTTAATAAATCCAAATATGATAAATACAATTTTAACATTGATATTGAAAAGATAAAAGAAATTACACATACTAAGTTCTTAGGTATAACGATAGACCAAGATCTTAACTGGAAATTACACATTGAGGCCTTATGCAAGCGTATTAACAGCTTTGTTTATGCTCTTTATAAAACAAGGAGCGTAACTAACTTGCAGACAGCCATTACCACTTACCACGCGTATGTAGCCTCCATTCTACGTTATGGTGTGATGATATGGGGCAATAGTACTGAGAGACAAAAGGTATTTATAGCGCAAAAAAAATGCATCAGAGCCATATGTGGGATTCCACGGGCGAGTCCTGTAGAGCAGCATTTTGGAGCCTGGGCTTACTTCCTTTGCCAGCACTGTACATCTTTGAAATGAGTTGTTTTGTAAAACGCCATACTGAGCTCTTTCAGAAAGCCAGAGATATAAACTCTCGATGGAAAGGAAATCCGGAGCGATTAGTATTAAGCGTCATTCCAAGATCTGCTAAATTCAGAAAAAGTTGTTTAGCAATGTGTGTTAAGGTGTATAATAAGATCCCCAATGACATCAAAAACCTCAAAATGAATTTATTCAAATCGAGACTCTATAAGTGGCTTATTGAACTTAAAGTGTATGACATTGAAGAATTTATTGACATTAAGCTTTAATAATTATGGTTTTGTTGACATTGCTTTAATGAATATATTTGACCCCTTTTGAAATAAATGTTACCTGAATATAATCTTAAATTTGCATGCTAATTATAAGCAAAACATGTGAACTTATTTTACTGTACCACCTACAAACACCATGTTTTAAGCAAATAAAGAAATTATTATTATTATTATAACTAATTTTGGAGCATCGACATCTGATTACAACTCCGCTGATTTTGATTGATTTTCATAATAATAACGCAATGAACATGTATATAAAAAAATAAATATTTCTTACCTTAGACAGATTACAAGTCTTTCTCTTGTAGAAATAGGCGTCCTCCAGTTTGTGGTACATTTGCTTATTTTTGGGATGAGCAGTTCATGTAGTTCTTCGAATAAATCTTGAGACATACGAAAGTATGTAAAAACGATCTTCATGTGATGCAAGCTCACGATACAAACGATGATATTCTCCTAAATCCTTTCTCTTTTGATTGATGCCGTGCACCCATACTCTTTTTCTCGGTGACCGTGATAAAGCATATAAAAGTAATAATACTTCCACATCTGAATCACTCGACATCTCCATAACGAACAAACTCTTCACACTGCTAACGATCTGCACTACGCTTTGGCGAATGGCGAAATCGCGGCGCCGTGTCATCGAGTCAGCGCCCTACCGCGCGCTAAAGCGTTCTGTTTGACGAAGCCTCGCGCGACGTTAAAACGGGACGCTATAACGCTACTACGCAGCGCTAAAATACGCGTCCTGTCTGACCTTTAAGCCTTTAAGCGACAAAGCAGGAGCGACAGTCCGTCGTCGGTCAAGCTACCGCCAAAACTCCCATCTATTCTTGACAAAAAATAACAATATAGAGTAATATATTATGTGTGTGTACAGATTTAATACTCATAATGTTAATGATAACATTATGAGGACTAAATCTGACGAGTGACTTCAATGATCATTAATTAATGACAGACATTACATTCTAATTAATTTAACATGTCTAAGCTATTGATAACAGACATCTAGTTGTGTACGAATCTTTATAAGTTTTATTACAGGTCAGTACACTTTTAATAGGAAAGTTAATTTTACTTTTTAGCAAACGAGCATGATGCTACCAGACGGTAAGAACCACAGTGCCCGAAAACAACCACAATACAAGAGGAGTTGCAGATACGTTATCGGTCTATTAGAAATACGTTATGCAGATTTTAGCAGGCGCTGTCAGATAACGAACTCGGTCCGTATGTCATATTACAACATGATACTCGGATCAGTCAACAGTTAAATATGTCAGACTAGTAATAGTCTATTTTTTTGGTTTATATAAAGTATAGGTTGAGGATAGGAGGGAGGTGTCAATATACGTAAATGGATAATTCTCTTAAGTCGGGTGGCGCTGGGGCACGTTGGCGGCGAGTTCTCGTACAAAGAACGCGTCGAAGTTGAACTCCAATCATTTGTCCCAAAGGCCGGCTTCTTTCATCTTTGTATGGAAGTATTTCTCTAGGAGGTTCGCGCATCTGAAAAAAATTGGTGTTTATTTATTGTACCGTGTAGTGGTGGCGTAAGAATATTTACTACCCCATACAGCGACATTCGTAAGATTTGTTTGTTGTTTGTTCTGTAGTCAGTAATTGGTACAGCATACGAGTTCGAAGAACCCACCTTTTTTTAACCTAACCTCCCACACAAAAGAATTTTCCTGTATCCTAGAGGTATTTCACGTACTCATTAGTTCACATGGGCGAGCGTTCAGACCCGGAAAAATAATTTGTAAGCTACACAAAGATTGGGCGGCGTTCGGGAGATTACGATGCATCTTGTTACGTACCTATACCTTAAACTTAATAATAAGAGTGTAGTGTATTTTTTTTATTTTAAAAATTGGTTAAACAATTTGGTATTGCTGTATATCTTAATTTTTTATAGGATTATGGTGACAAACACACAGTCCATCTGATGGTAAATGGATGCTGTAGCCCACAGACATCTACATCTATCCTCGATTACGAATCAAAATGCAGATGCGCTGTCACCCGTGAGGACTAAAATGTAATGCCTCGTTTCCAGTAAAAAGGGTCTCCGGTTCTCTACACTCACCACACGAAACACAGCATCATTAATCTACTATTTTACGCTGGTATTCTGTGTGAGCGTGCTATATCCGACCGACGTGGTGAGCCGACACATTCGTGATACAACTATACTAGCAATATACCTGCAGCATGGCTCTACCAATGATCACTACCAAAACGATCCCTTTATGGCTTTCCACAACGGCCTTTTTGTTTTTATTTAATATATTTGTATTTGGTACGAATTACCTGTAATAGTCCGTGTCTGGGGAGTTGTAGAGGCGACAGTTGGTGAATATCCGCGTCATGTCCGCAATGAACAGCCTCTTCGATACATAGTAGCGGGACTTGAGACGTTCGCCCATTGTGCGGAGGTCTGTAGAGGGAAAAAGCAGGAGAATATTCTATACATTAATCCATCTAAGCATTTTGCTCCATGAACCTCGTCAGATTGTCAGATAATCTAAGGGATTCCGATAGCTGGTTTTAAAAAATCTCGTTTTTTTATAGAATAAGGGGGATAAGCGAGCACACAATTCACCTGATGGTGAGCGAATGCTGTGACCCATAGACATCTATCCTCGATTAAGAATCAAAATGCATATGCGTTGTTACTCCCGATAACTTAGATAGATTTCCTCGTTTACAGTAAAAAATGTGCCTCCGGTTCTCTAGCATACGCAGCACGTAGGTATTTTGTGAGACCATGGATCTTTTCCGGACTAGCAGACTCAATCGTGCTACAACCATATATGGGCGCAACGTGGCTTTTACCATGTATAAACATTTTACGGCAGATGTAAAACCAAAATAAATAAATAATAGATTTAAAAGAAAACTCGGACAAATTCCTTGTGGAATCGACTACCACCAGAGATTTTTCCGGAGCGATACGACTTAGGAACTTTCAAAAAAAAAAAAGAGCCTACTCCTTTTTAAAAGGCCGGTAACACATCTGCAATTCCCTTGGTGTTGCAGTTGTTCATGCGCGGCGGTAGTCACCATCAGGTGAGCCGCATGCTCGTTTCGACGAGCAGCAGCGATAAAAATGCGAGACGTCCGGTATTGCGGTTGTCAATCTGCCTGAAGCAAGCCAAGCGTGAAGATGAAAACAAATCCTCCTTACAACGAAAGTCCAAGTCTAGTAGGGACTTTTACGAACGAATAAACAATAATTTTTATAAATTGATATTGTGATCATAAACTTTGAAAGTAAATCGAAGATTACTTAGATTTTTGAGAAATCGTTCTTTTAGACCTCGATTTTTTTGTAAATCGATTCATCAGATTTCGATTCGAATCGATCTAAAAATCGATCTTTTTCGGAAAGAATCGACATCCATACTGTGTACTCGTTTGTCACCCTTATTTTATATAAAAAAAAATAACCGATAAATGGTGACCAATTGATGTCAGACCGGCGGACGTTGCAACAATGCAGTGTCAAAGAACGACCGAGTAGTGACGGTGTAAGAATATCCAATACCCCATATCATCACTGGGGTGTTATAAGAGCTGGCAGAAGGGAAACTGAAACAGGAGATGAGATAAAACGGCAGTTGCCAACCCGCCAGCCAAGCGTAGCTACTATGGCCAAATCCCACCGATGAAAATGAAATTAAAGACCCATGTCGAGTTGTAAACTGTTTAGAACTCTCAAGTTTTTTTAAAGCCTAGATGGATTTAAAAAAACAGAGGCAGTCATGATTTCTGGCAATATCCACAGTCACTCCCAACGAAATCTACGGAACTACGGAACGATGATACGGAATTGAATTTTACTTACATCGTCACCCGACTGTACTCAAAAATTACCGTTTTATGGTAACTATTATCGTCAAACAAATGTAACCTCATATTTACCATGCATCCAAACATTAAAATAGTCTGATACGCCCTTACATAGTATGACCACTCCGAAATGTGTTTATTCTCAAATGAGTGATCTCACTCATTCGCAATCAGTGCTCATTTGTGCGTGGTGACAGCCAGATGTTGAACATTGGAACTAACGCGCTGATTTCACAAAAAAAAAACTCTTAAAATGCCATCGTGTGCCTTTCAAAAGTGCAATAATAATTCTAGAAACACAAATAAAGTCCTAGATGTAACATTTCACTTGCAAGTATCTATGTATTTTATTAAATATTGAATTTATTTTATTCCGATATCAGAAAATACCACGAAATATTTACGGGAAAAAGGAAACTGTGCGACAGAGAAAGTAGTATACACAATTTCCGTATGATAATAAGAGATGACACTACTGTCTCAGTACTCTTCTTATAACCAGTTTAGTATAGTAGAATATCTAATTCGGATGTACCAAGGAAGCAGTTTACAAAGGGATCATTTATAAATAGACATAAACAGACGGCAATGTAGTGGTAGGCAGAAAAAGTAGTATAGTCCGGACACGAAGAATGAAGAATTTCGTACGTTAACCAACCATTTACTACCTGTCTCTGTCACTCCCGCGTAAATAAAGTGTCTCGCTCGCACAGATGCAATGACCTTCCGTCTTCAGGGATTGTAAACCTTTTACCTGAGACTGTAAGTTTTGTTCTTGTTTGCATGTGGTTTTTGTTGGTCTTGAGGCACGACTAAAACTCATTGGCTTGCTTGACATAGTTAATAATTTTTAAATAACGAACAAACGACATTCCATCTTGGAATGCGTTAGTGATCGCTCAGTTTTCGGACACAGTTATCAATTCTTAGTATGTTGTTGTTTGTTTAATGTAGACAAAACTTTTGATTCTTTTGTAATAAATGTGACAGGCGGGACGTCATCAGAAAACAGTAACTCCGATATAAAGAAATCAGATTCCGATTTTTAAATTTTTAAATTTTTTTATTTCTGCCAAATTAGCAATTTTCAAATGAACTAGATTTTATAATTGTTTTTATACTAAAATAAAAATAAAATATAATACCAATAATTTATTTAATAGGATCGTAAATTTATTTTTTAATGCTTCAAATATTTCATATAAACCACACTTAACACAAAAATGTTTGCGACCACTGTCAGTAGGCAAAGAGGTCATTGTACCAAATTTTTCCTGCTCCCGCGACTGGACTTTATACACAATTTCCGTAAGATAATAAGAGATGACACTATTGCATTAGCGAGCGCGCGTCAGCGTCTTGCAAACGCAACCATTCAAAACTAGTGCAACAGTTTTTCAAGGTGAAGGCGCATCTATTTTAAATCTTTGAATGCATCACATGGAAGTATAATACAAATGAATATCTTAATTATTTAGACATAAAAAATAAAATCATTAATAATACATGTGTTATGTGGGTAGATATTTAAAAACTTACCCATCGGATATTTGATATGATCGTAGTAATCTGGCACTTCAGACTTATCTACGGGCTTCAGGAACGGCCATGCGGCGGCGTGGTTTTTCACCTGGAAATAAACTATTTCATAGCAGCACAAGTTGATATCGGTGGAATACAAGGGGATTTTGGTATAAGATACTTTGTGTGATTTCAACTCCTGACACTGACGTGGTTATTTTCAGACTTCGCTTTTATGTCATCATCATCAACTTTACATCATAACAGCCCATCACTAGTCCACTGCTGAACATAGGCCTCCCCCAAGGAATGCCACAAAGCACGGTCCTGAGCCACCTTCATCCATTAACTTACTGCATGTCTTACCAGGTCGTCACTCCATCTAGTGGAGGGTCGACATACACTACGCCTACCGGTACGAGGCTGCCACTCGAGAACCTTATTACCCCATCGGTTATCCGTTTTTCGAGCTATATGGCCGGCCCATGGCCACTTCAGCTTACTAATCCGTTGGGCTATGTCGGTCACTCTAGTTCTACTGCGGATATCCTCATTTCTAAGTTTATCAAACAGAGAAACCCTGAGCATAGCTCTCTACATAGCTCGCATAGCGACCTTGAGAGTCCTCACACGGCCAGCAATGAAGGACCACGCACACGCACTGGTTGTACAATCTAGTTTTCAGATTTTGAGGTATACCTGACGAGAAGATGTGTCGTAATTTCCCGAACGCTGCCCAGCCGAGTTGAATTCGCCGATTGACCTCTCGGTAGAAGTTGAACTTACCTAGTCGGACTATTTGTCCCAGGTAAACATACTAGTCAACAACTTCGAGTATAGTGTTCCCAACAACTACCGGCATAGGTGTGACATGGCCATTAAACATGATCTTTGTTTTGTTCATGTTCATCTTAAGACCTATTCGTTGGGAGACACTATTGAGGTCATTTAGCATAGTGCTTAAGTCCTCCAGCGATTCTGCGATAAGGATTATATCGTCGGCAAATCGAAGGTGAGTGATGTACTCGCCATTGATGTTAATACCGTATCCTTTCCAGTCCAGTAGCTTGAAAACGTCTTCCAAGGCAGCAGTGAAGAGTTTCGGGGATATAACATCACCCTGTCTTACACCTCTCCGCATTTGGATAGGTTTCGTACTCGTACTGTAACTATCGTAGCCCTACTGTACAAACACTTCGATACACCGACAGTCCACTTGGCACCGCTGAAGAGACTGTGGCACCGCCCAAATTTTGACAGAATCAAAGGCCTTCTCATAGTCCACATACGCCAGGCAAAGTGGCAGATTGTACTCTTCGGTCTTCTGTACAGGGTATGTATATGGTCTACGGTACTGAAGCCTTTTCGGAAATCGGCTTGTTCGGGAGGCTGGAAGTAGAGTCTGTGTGCGAGACGATTCGTAATGACTCGAAAACAGCACCTAGACGCGGCTCAGAAGGAAAATCGGTCTGTAGTTCTTCTAGAGAGCGTTGTCGCCTTTCTTGAAGAACAAGACCACCGAACTTCTGCTCCAGCCTCGCCTCCGGAGTAGTGCCACCATGGAGGACGAAATTGAAGAGCTTCTGAAGGACTTCAAGTACCGGTGGTTCCACCCGCTTTCAGAAGCTCCGCTGTAATTCCATCCTGGCCGTTAAGGTGCTGGAGAGCCATTCTAATCTCGCTCAGACTGACGTCCGGGATATCATCGGAATAGTGTCGGATAAGACTTGCTCTTGGATCGTTACTCACACTTGCGTGTGGCTCCAACGATGATGTGTACAACTGCCCATAGAACCGATGCTGCCACACTCAGTCTTCAGCTTTGACAGTTGGCTCTTTCTGGCAGACAGATCTCTGGTAAAGATTTTGGAGCCCTGTTTCTGCTCGATCGCTTCATCAATACGAGCAGTATTAAAGTTGCGGAAGTCCCGCGGTCCCGCATACATCTGGATATCTGTCTGTTTAGTTGCCTGTATGCCGTCAAATCTGCTGACGACTGCAGCTTCATCTCTCGTCTAACAGCCATGAGATTAAGAGTGTGATCGGAGTTTTTGTGTTCTTCTGCGGCGGGTTTGGTGACCGCATGGACAGTTTCCACGGCTTGTCATTCATATCGTCCACTGCATTGCAATCTTCTAAGCACTGAAAGCGGTTTTCTAACTCGAGCTGAAAGGTTTCGGGATTTTAGATTACAGCACGAGGGGGACGGAGCGTTGACTTCATTAGACGAGACCTCGCCAACTTAACGTTTAGGTTGTGCCTGTAACCATTCGGTGATCGCTGCCAGTTTTCACCCTTGCGATCACTGTATTCACGTTAAATTGGCATAATTTGTTTAGTTTAATTTGTAGTATTCATGTAAATATAAGAATTCTTTATTATTAGTCTCATAAACGCCGTGCAGTGGCAGGTGAAGAGAATCCTGCAATTCATTTTGTCCCATTTGTGTCATAAGAGGTCACTATGGGAAATTCCCAAATCTCATGGCTTCCGATAGATTTTTTTATAGAAGAGGGAGCAAACGAGTATGCGGCTCACCTGATGTAAAGTGACAACTGTCGACGTCGACTGTGCTCGGGCTCGGGCTGGGCGGGCCAGCCGTTATCCTGCAGCCCGGCATGCACTCCACGGATACTCCGCACCTGAGCACACAGAGTAGACTCACAGCGTGCAGCACGGCTCGCAAGGCGGCGAGGTCGACGTCGGGCTCGGGCTCGCCAGCCACTGTCCCGCAGCCCTGGGATGGGCTCCACGGATACTCCGCAGCTGACCACACAGAGTAGACTCCCAGCGTGCAGCACGGCTCGCGAGGCGGCGAGGTCGACGTCGGGCTCGGGCCCGCCAGCCACTGTCCCGCAGCCCCGGGATGCGCTCCACGGATACTTCGCAGCTGACCACACAGAGTAGACTCACAGCGTGCAGCACGGCTCGCGAGGCGGCGAGGTCGACGTCGGGCTCGGGCTCGCCAGCCACTGTCCCGCAGCCCCGGGATGCGCTCCACGGATACTCCGCACCTGACCACACAGAGTAGACTCCCAGCGTGCAGCACGGCTCGCAAGGCGGCGAGGTCGACGTCGGGCTCGGGCTCGCCAGCCACTGTCCCGCAGCCCCCGGATGCGCTCCACGGATACTCCGCACCTGACCACACAGAGTAGACTCACAGCGTGCAGCACGGCTCGCAAGGCGGCGAGGTCGACGTCGGGCTCGGGCTCGCCAGCCACTGTCCCGAAGCCCCGGGATGCGCTCCACGGATACTCCGCAGCTGACCACACAGAGTAGACTCACAGCGTGCAGCACGGCTCGCAAGGCGGCGAGGTCGACGTCGGGCTCGGGCTCGCCAGCCACTGTCCCGCAGCCCCGGGATGCGCTCCACGGATACTCCGTAGCTGACCACACAGAGTAGACTCACAGCGTGCAGCACGGCTCGCAAGGCGGCGAGGTCGACGTCGGGCTCGGGCTCGCCAGCCACTGTCCCGCAGCCCCGCGATGCGCTCCACGGATACTCCGCAGCTAACCACACAAAGTAGACTCACAGCGTGCAGCACGGCTCGCAAGGCGGCGAGGTCGACGTCGGGCTCGGGCTCGCGAGCCACTGTCTCGCAGCCCCGGGATGCGCTCCACGGATACTCCGCAGCTGACCACACAGAGTAGACTCACAGCGTGCAGCACGGCTCGCAAGGCGGCGAGATCGACGTCGGGCTCGGACTCGCCAGCCACTGTCCCGCAGCCCCGGGATGCGCTCCACGGATACTCCGCAGCTGACCACACAGAGTAGACTCCCAGCGTGCAGCACGGCTCGCAAGGCGGCGAGGTCGACGTCGGGCTCGGGCTCACCAGCCACTGTCCCGCAACCCCGGGATGCGCTCCATGGATACTCCGCACCTGACCACACAGAGTAGACTCACAGCGTGCAGCACGGCTCGCAAGGCGGCGAGGTCGACGTCGGGCTCGGGCTCGCCAGCCACTGTCCCGCAGCCCCGCGATGCGCTCCACGGATACTCCGCAGCTAACCACACAAAGTAGACTCACAGCGTGCAGCACGGCTCGCAAGGCGGCGAGGTCGACGTCGGGCTCGGGCTCGCCAGCCACTGTCCCGCAGCCCCGGGATGGGCTCCACGGATACTCCGCAGCTGACCATACAGAGTAGACTCACAGCGTGCAGCACGGCTCGCAAGGCGGCGAGGTCGACGTCGGGCTCGGGCTCGCCAGCCACTGTCCCGTAGCCCCGGGATGTGCTCCACGGATACTCCGCAGCTGACCACACAGAGTAGACTCACAGCGTGCAGCACGGCTCGCAAGGCGGCGAGGTCGACGTCGGGCTCGGGCTCGCCAGCCACTGTCCCGCAGCCCCGGGATGCGCTCCACGGATACTCCGTAGCTGACCACACAGAGTAGACTCACAGCGTGCAGCACGGCTCGCAAGGCGGCGAGGTCGACGTCGGGCTCGGGCTCGCCAGCCACTGTCCCGCAGCCCCGCGATGCGCTCCACGGATACTCCGCAGCTAACCACACACAGTAGACTCACAGCGTGCAGCACGGCTCGCAAGGCGGCGAGGTCGACGTCGGGCTCGGGCTCGCGAGCCACTGTCTCGCAGCCCCGGGATGCGCTCCACGGATACTCCGCAGCTGACCACACAGAGTAGACTCACAGCGTGCAGCACGGCTCGCAAGGCGGCGAGATCGACGTCGGGCTCGGACTCGCCAGCCACTGTCCCGCAGCCCCGGGATGCGCTCCACGGATACTCCGCAGCTGACCACACAGAGTAGACTCCCAGCGTGCAGCACGGCTCGCAAGGCGGCGAGGTCGACGTCGGGCTCGGGCTCACCAGCCACTGTCCCGCAACCCCGGGATGCGCTCCATGGATACTCCGCACCTGACCACACAGAGTAGACTCACAGCGTGCAGCACGGCTCGCAAGGCGGCGAGGTCGACGTCGGGCTCGGGCTCGCCAGCCACTGTCCCGCAGCCCCGCGATGCGCTCCACGGATACTCCGCAGCTAACCACACAAAGTAGACTCACAGCGTGCAGCACGGCTCGCAAGGCGGCGAGGTCGACGTCGGGCTCGGGCTCGCGAGCCAGTCTCGCAGCCCCGGGATGCGCTCCACGGATACTCCGCAGCTGACCACACAGAGTAGACTCACAGCGTGCAGCACGGCTCGCAAGGCGGCGAGATCGACGTCGGGCTCGGGCTCGCCAGCCACTGTTCCGCAGCCCCGGGATGCGCTCCACGGATACTTCGCAGCTGACCACACAGAGTAGACTCCCAGCGTGCAGCACGGCTCGCAAGGCGGCGAGGTCGACGTCGGGCTCGGGCTCACCAGCCACTGTCCCGCAACCCCGGGATGCGCTCCATGGATACTCCGCACCTGACCACACAGAGTAGACTCACAGCGTGCAGCACGGCTCGCAAGGCGGCGAGGTCGACGTCGGGCTCGGGCTCGCCAGCCACTGTCCCGAAGCCCCGGGATGGGCTCCACGGATACTCCGCAGCTGACCACACAGAGTAGACTCACAGCGTGCAGCACGGCTCGCAAGGCGGCGAGGTCGACGTCGGGCTCGGGCTCGCCAGCCACTGTCCCGCAGCCCCGGGATGCGCTCCACGGATACTCCGTAGCTGACCACACAGAGTAGACTCACAGCGTGCAGCACGGCTCGCAAGGCGGCGAGGTCGACGTCGGGCTCGGGCTCGCCAGCCACTGTCCCGCAGCCCCGCGATGCGCTCCACGGATACTCCGCAGCTAACCACACAGAGTAGACTCACAGCGTGCAGCACGGCTCGCAAGGCGGCGAGGTCGACGTCGGGCTCGGGCTCGCCAGCCACTGTCCCGCAGCCCCGGGATGCGCTCCACGGATTCTCCGCACCTGACCACACAGAGTAGACTCACAGCGTGCAGCACGGCTCGCAAGGCTGCGATGTCGACGTCGGGCTCAGACTCGCCAGCCACTGTCCCGTAGCCCCGGGATGCGCTCCACGGATACTCCGCACCTGACCACACAGAGTAGACTCCCAGCGTGCAGCACGGCGCGCAAGGCGGCGAGGTCGACGTCGGGCTCGGGCTCGCCAGCCACTGTCCCGCAGCCCCAGGATGCGCTCCACGGATTCTCCGCACCTGAGGAGTAGACTCACAGCGTGCAGCACGGCTCGCAAGGCGGCGAGGTCGATGTCGGACTCGGGCTCGCCAGCCACTGTCGCGCCGCCCCGGGGATGCGCTCCATGGATACTCCGCACCTGAGCACACAGAGTAGACTCACAGCGTGCAGCACGGCTCGCAAGGCCGCGAGGTCGATGTCGGACTCGGGCTCGCCAGCCACTGTCCCGCAGCCCCGGGATGCGCTCCACAGATACTCCGCAGCTGAGCACACAGAGTAGACTCACAGCGTGCAGTACAGCTCGCAAAGCGGCGGGGTCGACATCGGGCTCGGGCTCGGCGGGCGCGCGGCCGCCACGCCAGCCGCTGTCACGCAGTCCCGGAATACACTCCACGGGAATACTCCGCACCTGAGTCCGGGGAATTATTAATGTGAGAATTTTCTACGTTGAAAAGCTCTTAGAGTTACATGCATATTATCCAGCGAGACTGCCTTATTGGTCTAGTGATTGTAGTAGTACAACTACTGATCGTAAGGTCCTGGGTTCGAATCCCGGGTCGGGCTCAATCAATTATTGAGTTTTTTCGTCAAGAAATTCTCGGTCGCTACCCGGAGTTAGGAAATAGCGGTGTCTTACCCCCGTGTCTCGGAAGGCACGTATAGCCGTTGGACCTGTGCCTGATCTCTCTCCGGTCGTGCCGATTAAAGTACGTGCCAAATCGATTGAGAAAAACGAACAACGACCTTTCGTTCGTTTAACCAGGGGCTACAAACCTTCAATATATAGACGTTTTTTACATGTAGTTCTTTATTTATAATGATTTATAATGATTTTTTATTATTTTTTTATAATGATTGATATAATATATATTTATTAACTATTATTAAAAATTTATGTAAAATTTTGTAAAATTTCGCTGTAGAAGAAAAATCATCTATTGTTATAAAGTAATTTATTCATTTAACAACAAAAAAGCATTAATTTATAACACATATAAAGGTTCGAGTGATAACGACACCGAATAAGTATGTACTTATTCAAAAGATAAAACGTTATTTTCAATATTATATAGGAACTTTATTTTTATTCGGTGCATGCGGACCAGTCTAAAAAAAAATGACGCATCTCTAGCTGCCATTGTCACGTTTCTTTTAGAACGAACTAACGTAACGCGCGTTTTGTTTATTTTAAAGGGATGAATTTGCAAAAGCTCAATATGGTGATTATATTGCTTTAAATATTTTTTTTTATAAGAAACCGTTATTAAATGAATTTCTGCGTTACTTACCATAAATTGAAATAGAAAATATAACACATTTTTCGCGATGTGCCGTAAGATTTTACGATGGTTATAGGACCCATAGACAATATTATTTAAGAAACGAAAAATCAAAACATATGTGCTGACTTAGAAGTGTGAATAATATTAATATTTAAAAATATTATGTAATTAGAAACAAAGTTAATTTTGTGCAATGAGTAGTTTTTCAGTCCACTATATTACAGTTACAGCCAATTAAAGTCCACTGCTGAACATAGGGCTCTCCCATAGTTTTCTAATATTATACAACTCTATAATACTCTAATATAAAGTTTATTTATCAATATATGATATGCCTGAAATACTGATAATATTGTAAAATCATAATATATAATCGATATTTCTCTTTTGGATTTTCAATGTATTTTTGCAATTGAAAATATAAGAGAAGTCGCCATCGCGCGATATAAGTGCTCACACCTCGCCGAGTTTGCTCTTCACAAATAATAAACAAAAAGTGGTTGAAAGTGACTTTTGAAAGTATATTTACGTTCTGTCACTTCAGTTTTTGTGTGTATCAAACAATTAACTTTAAATAATTAGCCAGTGATATTCGCAATCAATAATAATCAATAAATATCCGATCCGTTCATATTCTATTACCATCAATAGTAATAAATGTAAAGTGTCTCGATAAAACGCGTAAGCGCCCTCATATTCACGGCGCCTACGACCTTCTTCACGCGGACTAATATGAACAGTGGTCAATGCTGTTAGGGCCTTTATTAGTGTGCGCTAATAGTTACCTTCAACTATAGTTTACATTACACGTTGGACTATTATGTACGTCATTAAATATGCAACAATCATTCTCCGATTCTGAAACAGAAAAAAAACACCCCCTAACTACGTACAAATGCGATATAATAAGCGCCATCACTCCGATGACTTTTTGGAAGAATTAAGACTTTAAAGCAGACATTAAACAAATTATATCTACATGTATGTCTTCAAATGAAGTGGAACGTGCTCGTCTTCAAAGAGATATAAAAAGCAAAATACAGTAAGTGAAAAACTCCAACTCAGAGATTGAGAAATCTGTTGAACATTTATCACACCAATTTCATGGAATAATGAGCAAAATTAGTTCTTTGGAAATTAAATGATCTGAAAATCTTGCTTTCATACAGCAGTTAGAACAAAATATAGAATCCCTGCAACGTTCCTCCTTAGAAGCTGATAGTGTGATCTAATTTCTATTGTCACTCGTACCGGCACTGCCCTTAGTTTAGAAATTAATCTTTCCGACGTCCGTGATGTTTATCGACTGCAAAATAAATCTGGTTCCAGTGGGATTATTGTAGCTGAATTTACGTCTGTTATTCTAAAAAAATTATGTATTACAAGCTGCTAGATCTTTCAACTCAAAACGCCCAATTTATGAAAAACTAAATTCAACGCACATTGGCATTGAAGGTAAAAAACAACCAATTTTTGTATCTGAACACCTCAATCTTACTACTAGAAAAATTTTCGCCTAGGCACGTCAGTTCGCAAAAGGCAATCATTATAAATACTGTTGGTCTACGAATGCGCGCATATTTCTCCGCAAAGACGATTCTTAAAACAAATACTCATAAAGACAGAAAAGTGTTTAAACTATATGACAAAATTGAAAAGAAAACAAAAATCTATATTTGTTGATAAACCTAAAAATGTGATTATCTTTGGGTTTATCAACAAATATAGGTTTTTGTTTTCTTTGTTCAATATTTAATATCAATATTCAATTGTTTTTTGTTAAAACCAAACCATTTTACTCTATTAATCTAAGCATACAAAAAACCTATACTGTTACAATTAACAAACACTTACAAAAAATATTTAAAGCAGCAGTTAAATATACATTTAAACACTACTTCATAAATACTTCTCTAGTTCGTAATTAAACAATATTTATCTTAGTGCACTAAACTTTGTTTTTAAAAATAAATCATATAAATGATATATCCTCTGACCTAGATGGGTTTACGGTCTGAAAATCTTCAAATTGTAACCCTGAGGAATTCATAAATTACATAGATAATAGCGCAAATTCATTTACAATATTACATCTAAATATTCGGAGTATAAACTGTAACATAGACGGTTTACAGTAATTACTCGAGCAGCTTATTTTTATGTGACAGTTTATGTGACGTTATAGTCTTATCGGAGTGTTGGCTTAGCAAAACAACTCGTGTTCCTTTCCTAGTCGGATATGAATCACATCAAACAAAAAATACATATAATCAAAATGGAGCTGTTGTTTATGTTAGATCGGGAATTGTTTACACTATTCACGAACCCCCCTTTAAGGAAGCAAACTGCCTATTGTGTACTTTAGGTAATGAACTATCTATTGTCGCAATATACCGACCCTATTGTTTCTCGAACATTAATAATTTTTACACAGTTTTCAGATAGTTATCTCCGGCCTGTAAAAATATTGCAGTTATTGGTGATATTAATATGGATATACTTAAATTTTGTAATAACTGTAATGAATACTTGAACTTGTGTGCCAATCTCGGCTTGTTTTCATCCCACAATCTGGCTACACATTCAAACACCTGTCTTGACCATGTATTACTCAAAACGAGTCTAATCGCCACAGTCATGACAATAGATTCATACATAACTGATCATAACCCCATAGTATTAAATTTGAAATATAAACCTAAGTAAAACAACAATACTAATAGAATAAATCTTAACAAAACTTTAATTATAGCTGATGTAAAAAAATCTGATTTTAATGATATTTTTACATCTAAAACTGTCAATGAGGTCACTCAAATTCTTATAGAGATTTTGTCAATAATTAAGACCCATTCTATTTTACACACTATCCCTAGAAGGAATAGAAATAAAAACACCTATGAAAAAAACGAGCTAGTTAAAAATAAAAATTATTCAAAAAGAACTTGGGGAATTGTAAAAAATATATGTAATACTAAAAAATATAAATTCTTCAAGTTGATCTTATAAAAATATCTTCTGATGTATCTGCATCAGTGAACTATTTTAACAAATTTTTTGTTAATATTGGCACAAACTTAGCCGATGAAATTATTAATAGTAGTCCTTCTTATCTCCTTTCAGAAGAACAAAACTCTTTCTTTCCTTTTTCTTTAGTTTTACACGAAGTACAATATGATGAAGTTGACAGAATAATTAATAGACTTCGTTCTGACAGTGCTACAGTATGTGATGGTACTCCTACATCGATCATTAAGGCTTGTAAAAGTACTTTTATCCCCCCTTACGACCTATATATGTAACCTGTCAATTCAAAAGGGCAAATTCCCTGACCTCTTGCTTCAAGAGATGCGCACTTTAGATCGTACAATACCTACCTTACGTCCGCTCCAAAAGAGCACTAATTAGATCAGAATTACTGCCCTATGAAAACTTTTTTTAAACTATATTTTCGTTTTAAACAAAACCAAAGACACTATGCAATAGATAATAGTATGAAAGACAAAGATATGCTCTTTTATTTTAAACCATAACCTGGCAATGTTTCTTAGAAAAAAAAAGGAAATCACTCTGAACTTTCGGCGTTCCACGTGTCGCTTTGATGAAGGTGCTCTGTCTTTTTTATAGAATTTTATATTTGTGTCTGGACTAAATACGAAAGTATTATACTTTTTTATATTCCTTGTAATATAGTAAACACGTAGATATATAATTTGTGGTATAAAAAGTGAAAAGTAAATTGCCAAAAGTACTTCAAAATCTGGAAGGCCCATTTTGGCGGTTGGGTCATAAATGTGTTATTTTTCAAATTCTCATTTATTTTTAGTGTAAAATGTAAGTAAAAATAGTTTTATTACATATTTCAAATAACTTGACGTTGTATTTATTTCAAATTCACACAAAACTATTTTTGAAATATTGTTCGAAATGTCATACAGATTATTTTTTTTTTTAATTTTTTATATTTTAATATTTTGGTATGAGTAACGAATAGAAACACATAAAACATAAAAATATACATATTTCCAAACATTTTCATATAAATTTCTCCAAAAACAAAAGTGTAGAATTCAATTTAGTAGTAATTTTGTCACTAAAATTGAAGTATATACTACTACTATGATAT